GAAAGGATGTCCAATATAAAGACAACAAGGTCAAACCCACTTTCACGTCCAAGATGATCAGACAAGCGAGGAGTTGGTTCATCTGCCTGGGAGGTCGCTCCGCCATTTATAACAGCACTGCTTTTGATAACAAGAAAAGTCGAACGGTTCTTGTTGTTTATCACTGAATCCTTTATTCCAGACAAAGTTCCATAACAAAGCGACCTGACCTTATACCTCAATTCTCCAGAACGAGCAATGGCGATACGAGCATCTGGATTCTGCTTTGATAGCCAAGAGTCATTAGCAACATTCACCTCACTTATGAGAGAAAGAATCGGACGACTGTCTTGTTCTCATTGCCCAGCTCACTCACTCACTCACCCATACCAAACAACTAACCTAACAAAGTAACCCAACCTTACCGCATTAACACACCCTCAAACACGCATACCCCCCATTTATCCCCCAAGAAAGAAACTCAAAAAACCACCCCAAACCTACGCCCTCACCCCCCTGGCACTAACCTCCCCCCTCTCCCCAATCTTCAACGCCTTCCTGCAATCCGGACAATACCACTTCGTCGTCCTCGCCGGAATGTCCTCCAACCCGACACACTCCAAGTGAAACCACTCCTGTTTGCATTGCTGTTTCCCCATTAGCATTTCCTTCTCCCCCCCCGCCACTTCCGGGGTTACTTACATCAACATTGTCACACTGAATCATCGTCCCAAAGCTGACCCGATTACACAGACAATATCTCGGCTCCTCCGGATCAATCACATTCCCCTCGTCGTCCACCTCCACCTCTGCCGTCCCGCCGTGCGTTTCCACCGGCGTCGCCGCCACCTCTTTCTCCTTCTTGTTACCGCCACCAGCAGTTCTTGACCCGGTAGCGGCGCTCTGCTTCTTCCTCGGCGCCGCCTTGCGCGTACCCACGGCGCTGTTACCGCCGCTGTTGGTCCGGCTGATGACGCCGGGAGCAGGGCGCTTGCCGGCTCGTTTGCTGGCCGGTCTGGTGGTGGAGTTGCCGGCGGCGGTGGGAGCAGTGGCGGCGGTGGTGCTAGCAGCAGTGGCAGAAGTCGTCGCGGTTGCGTGAGAAGATAGGGCAGCGGCTACATCTGGAGGGGCAGGGGTGTTTCGGGCGGTGCTAGTCCGGCGGGGACGGTCTGCTGCCAGAGATGGGGGGTGGTGAGGTAGTGCTGGCTCTTGGCTTGACGCTTTTCCTCTCGAAGCTGGGCGGCGGGTTATGACTGTTGATGCTGGTTGGGCAGGGGCAGGGGTAGGAGCAGCGTCGGGATCTGGCTTTGGTGCAACCAGCTCGGGGCTTGCTGTCCTTGACGTGGCCTTGCTTGCGACTCCTGACACGGCCCCTGGTGGAAGCTGCTGTGGTTGTGACTGTTGTTGCTGATCTTGCGACCGAGTGGCCTGCTTCTGGCGGGTCTCTCTCACAGGAGGCAGGATGGGCGTCACTGACTTCTTCGGTGAAATCACTGGCGGTGGTATAGGTGTCTCGGTAGTCGGCAGTTTGATGGGTGCCAATGTCGGGACGCTCGAAGGCCCGGCGGTGCTACCGGCGGGTGAGGTAGCTGATATTACTGATGCCGGCTTGGCCGTTATTGACTGGTCCTGAGAAAGGTTTGGTAAAGGTATAGGCGTTGTAGAGTGCAATACCGCATTTGTCCTCTGGGGAAGCTGGACCGGCGTTTCCTGAGGCGGGCCCAAAGAATTCCCAGAGGTTATTATTGGCGGCGGTACAGGCGTCTCCGTCTTGGTTCTCTTAAACTGTGGCCTCTGAGCCTGTTGACTGCCATCCGCCGCGGTCTCCTGTTCTTCAGCACCTTCGGCCTCAGTTCCCGGCATCGAATCTCGTTTCCGCTTCTTCGGAGCCTTGCTCTTGATTGCTTTGGCATCCGCGACAGCAGCTGGTTGAGGCACGCCCCCCATAATCATCCGTGCCTGTTCCCGGAACATGGCAGCCGACTGTTCGGCTTCGTCCGCTGCCAGCTTGGCCAGTTGCTCCCTCTTGAGTTTCTTAGCCTCGTTCAGTTTCATGCCACGGTTTGTGATATTCTTGTCATCCGACGCCAAAGCATCCACAGTCAAAGCCCCGAGCGGCATCCTCTTCTCGCCGGTGTGAGGGTCGATCGTCGGCACCGGCATAGCCCCCTCAAACACCCTCCCCTCGTCCTCTGCCTTTTTCTTCGCAGCTTTGAAGGCATCGACGCCTCGTCCGAGCGCGGCTAGCTCTCGCGCAACCATGGTATCACTTGGAGTCCAAGCCGCGTTCTTCTTCATTCTCTTACGAAGTCTTGCCAGTTCAAACGCAGTGAGCTGACACCATGGAGCATCGGCGCTTCCTGGGACTGCATTTTCGGGTGGAGGGACGAGCTGTGCCATGACAGCACTGGTGGATAGCCCACCGGGCACATTGGGAGGGGGGACAGATGTCCTGGGTCTTGGCGCCCTTGGAACACTCGACTTGGGCGGCCTTGTTGATCCTTTCACGACCTTGATGCGCGGAGCCGGAGTGACCCGGCTGGAAGATACTGCGTCATCCTCTTCCTCCGAACTGCTCTCCGATCCCGTGGTGTATGCGTCAAAGTTGATATCGTATGGCGCCAACACCTCGCCAGGAACTGTGATCCTAGGCACTCTCGGCCTGCGCACTTTCTGTCCGTCTATTTTCAGTGTAATCTTTGGCACTCTCGACATCTGAGGCGATCTGTTGGCCACTGGGCTCTTTTGTTGCTCCTCCAACTCTTGGTAGTTATCCTGCATAGCCTGCAATTTTGCGAGAATGGTCTTGGCACGGTTGAGATGACGGTTCACATTCTCGGCCATCCGTTGCGCTTCGGCATGGGAATAGACGCGAGAGTTGAGGGCATGGTGTAGGTTTTCCGACACGTGGCTGCGCAGCTCCACCGGTGTATTCTTGCTCTTAGCACCAGCCGGGAGGCCGGGGAGCTGGCCCCATTGTGTTGTGAGGTCGTCAATGTTGTTCGAGGAATCGATGTAGGCCTGGTCGAGTTGGCCAATCAGGGTCAAAGAACGCATCATATCGGCCGGGAGGTACTCGGTAAAGTCGAGGAAGTCACTAACGGTGGCCTGGGCATCGGGGTCGGCTCGGAGGTCGAGGGGATTGAGCGGCGTGATATTTTCGATGGACTTGATGGACTCGTGCATAGCCTGCTCGATGGACGGTGGCGCATCCTGTCGCGGAGAGATGGCCTCGTCGACAACGGGTTGGATGGCCTCTGGAGCAGCCATTTTTTGGTTGTTCCAATTCGTCCTCTTGTTTTTTTATGTTTGTTTCTTCACGATGTTTCCGGTGTTGACGTCGACGTCAGAGCAACTGGTTGGATGTTGGCGCAAAAGGCCTTGCCATGAGTGGGTGCAATGCGAAGCAAAAGTGAATATTAAGCTGCAGTATAGTGGTCCTCAGTGAAAAAACTATCTCGTGGGCGTCGTGGAGCAAGGTTTCCAGCTCTCGTTGGGCGGTGGATGAGGCTGTCGCGGTGGTGTCGTTTGCAGTGAAGTCGGCGGTTGAGAATGTGATTGTGGAACAAACGCGCCTCGTGCTCCCGTCGCGAAAGTCCAAGCTCCATTTGCTCCTTGGCTTGGTCCGCAGCCCGCAGCAGAAGATACAAAGTGGGTCTGTGCACCCCCACATGATCATCCTGGCTTCCTGTGGCCGGCCGGCAGACCTGCAGCCTGCAATGTAACCCTGACAAGGAACTGTTGATCTTATCTCTTTAGCGTCCCAACCCTCGACCGGCTCCCTCTCGAAATCGTTACCAGTCGGTGGCTTCACCTCCCGTTGTCTGCAGCATCTCGGCGATCATATCACATCTCTGAATCACTCACCGGCAGCCTGCCTGCCTTGGTCTGCCCGTGCCTGCAGAAAATGCCTTACTTAATTTCTCCTAGATCAAAAACCTGGCTTCCCCATGTTATCCGCGGCAACCGCCGTCTTGACGATGGGTTTTGCAACTTCCATACCTCATGTGTAGACAAGACAAGCATTTGTGGATACAGACGCAAGGCCATTGCAGGCAGCAGCTCCCCTTCCGCTGTTCTTGAAACCCCGGGTTTGCACACTTGAGCAGCACAAACTACTACTAGGTCCCGATGTGGACTCTCCTGAGCATGCCTGACGGCGATGTCACCCAGCTAAGAATTGAGGACATCTTGAGATGGCTTGATATTGAGGTGATAGTAAGGCAGAAAGCGGGCTCTCTTGGTCTTGGTTGGGTCTTTGACTTAACACGTCTCCTCCGTTTTGTATGTCGACTACTACCGTTTTGAATCTTGTTACCTAGACGGTATCCCTGTCCATGATGATGCCAGTTGATGACGCGGACAGCTTATTCGCACCAGAGCTGAGGGGTTCATGATGTTGAGTCCTGTGCCAACGTTGACACAGGTACTGAGCTCTATTGTAATGTTGCTACCTAAACGGCCATGCCAATGGCCAACTCTAAATGCTGTTGCTACAGCCAACAATGAATTGAAGTATCTGAGAACAAGAAACCAATGCCAATGTCATCCCCAAACTAATCGACGGCTATGAGCCTGTAACACTCTGGACGTAACAGAAACATGATAACAAGGAAAATATGACAGTAAGAAAACCCGGTATTCATAACTCATCATGCCCCTTCCCTAGAGTCGAGATGCCAAAGACTGAAAAGGAAAAACACAGGAAACATGCCAGACATAAAGAAACAGCCCAAAAGTCTCGGTGGTATATAGTGTCCAACCCAAATCCCATATCCCCAGCCCAACCAATGTCAAACAGAGTCATGAAACATGAAAGAAACCACAAAAGAAATATCAACCAATCTCCCGCTCAACCAACATAACCACTCCTGTGCACCAACTTCGCCCCATGAACCGTCTCGCTCTCCGCCTCATACCACGAGCTATCCACCGTTGTGAGGGAGGCATGAACCGTCAAGTTCCTGCACTTCAGATATCCGTTCACCGTCAACGCCCCCCACACCTCCAAGTCACCATTGACTTCCAGACTCCCGTTGATCTTCAGCTTCCCAAAGATCTTGACCTTGTCCCCGAATGTGGCGTTTCCGTTGATTTTCACATTACCCATTGACTTCATTCGTGAGCTGGCTTGTTGTTAGTCTTCTGTTCTTCACAGAGAATTGGGTGAGAAGGGGGGTTACAAACCTGCAATTGAGTGTGCCGTGAACACCCACATCCCCATAAGCCTCCACTCTATCCCTGACGGCAAAGTCCCCGTCAAACTTGATGCTCGCCATTGACTTGACTGAGCCATCGACTTCCATTGGGCCGCGGAGGTCAATCGAAGTCTCAGACTTGATGCTCTTCTTCTTCTTGACCACGGCTCCAGAAGCAGATGAGGGGGTGGTGTACGACGAGGAAGAGCCAGAGGGGTCGTAGCCCATAATCATGGGCTGGTCAAAGGTCATGATGCTTTCGTACTCGTACATTGTTGTTGTTGTTGTTGTTGTTGTTGGAATGTCTTCCGTTGCAGATGGGGAAGGAATGTTGACTGTTGTTGAAGGTGAAGGAGCAAGAGTTGTTGATGTCAAAGCTGGCGAAGGAGCAGCAGTAACTGTTGTTGAAGAGGATGCCGGTGAGGATGTGTGTGTAATTGTTGCTTCAGATGCTGGTGACGATGGGGTAGATATAGAACTCTCTGTCGAAGGAGAGGTGGCTTCTTTCATATCTTTTTTCCCTTGTTCCCCAAGCCCAAACTAGAACCAGGCAACGACAAGTCAAAGGGAAATTTTCCAACGATGACACAACAACGACTTCGCTGAGTGTACGTTGCCCAACTAGTCCAGTAGTCCGAAACAGGAGATGACCAAACTTCAACACCACCTGACCGGCGAGTCCGTCATGACTTTGTTTGCCCGTGATGGTAACGCTAAAGCGAGGCGGCTTGGAATAGGCAGGTAATAATATCTGCAAAAGGGGATTGGCTGTGTTGTCTGTTCAAACACATCTCCATCAAGAAGAGGAGGCGAGCCTCGGGGAGATATATAGAAAGCGGCAACCTCTGGGGCAGGAAACAAAAAAAAACAAGAAAAAAAAGAGCTCAAACCTTAGCTTCAAGGTCAAGGCAAGGTTGTATGTAATTGGTGCTTCCAAGACAAAACATGTCAGTACTCCAACCCAGACTAGGACTTCCCAACCTGGAGAGCTGTAAACTTCCAATGTCACCTTTGCCCAAGACAACAAGACTTTGTTACCTCAAAGATTGGGCCGTCTCAGCAGCAGTGCCTGCCTGCCTACCTACCTAACCCCAGCCAGGGAGGGGTGGTGGTGGTGGTGACGAAGGAGAAGAAGAAAAGGATAGCCCCATCCCGAAAGCTGTGCTGATGTGGGTATGAGTCGTCTTTCTCGCTATCCCCTGCTCAACCCAAGAAACAACCAAAGAGGAAGAAAGAGGCCATCAGACATAACGGGAGGGCGTCTGATCACGCGTCTCACAGCCTGTCATCTCCCCCCCAAACCGATATGTAACATCAAAAAAGTAGCTTGTCCCCCAAGGTAGAGTGTGGGTGCGGTTGCCGTGTGGTGGTGCTCCCCCCCCCCATCTTAGCCCCGAGAAGCCTCAATACCACGTTCGAAAAGGGAAAGGACTTTATCCCAGCTTTCCCCCATCTATCCCGCCGAAAACGTGATCTTAGACGCTGTGCAGAGGGCAAAAGGGCAGATTTGGATTCAATCTGGTTTCCAGCGCGGCTCTCACAGGCTCTCTTTGCCCATTTCAGTCACCACATCCCCTCCCATTGGTCAGACTCACAGCTGCACCTCACCATCCAAACTGCGCCTCGCTTCTATTGCATGTTTCTCTGCACCGAAATTGAAGGGCTTCAGCAAGATCAAAAGAAGAAAGCCGGTTGCCGCAGCCGTGCTTAAAGCCATCCGAAGCCGAAACTAACTTTTTGGTTTCGCATGGCAAAGTCCGTTCCAATTCTCCTCCTCCTCCCCCTTTGGCGGCCTCAGCTTCAAAAAGCAGCCGCTTCCGTATAGTGGACACCCCGCCTACGGCGTCCGGGTCCCGGTACACTAATGAGGCGCCGAGAAGGTCCGCTAAAAATATGGCGCAGCTCCTGGGGCTGAACAATAGCAACAAAAAAAAACTGACACTCACTCACCGTCCCAGTCCCCAGTCCGTTCCCTAGTCGTATGGAGCAATTATCGCGAGACACAATAGCGGGATGGAAAAACGGTGAGCAATGATGACAACAACCAGAACTCAAACGCCCACCGTGCCCCCTGCCGACACCGGAGAAAGCCTTACGTTTCCCTTCCCGGTCATACCAGCTATTCAGCTGGGCCCCCGGGCCTTGGGCTGGAAAGTCGTCATTGTAACTGATCCCGGCTTGCCATGTGCCGGCGCCGCAAACTCACTTCATACTATTAGCTATCCGCATTATATCCTACATACCGACATACGCAGCACTCGCCCCGGTGAACAGCCGCCGCTTGTTGGGGTTGCACGACACACACATGCCGCGGCTGTTGATACTGCTGCCATCAGCTGTAACGAGGGAGAAGGGGAAAAAACCGTTGCTTCAAGCCACCACCATTACCATATCCACCACCACACCACCGCAACCGCAACCCTCCTTGCTACCACCACCCTCCGCGCTTGTTAAGCGACCAAGATGGATGCCTGCTCCTATGGAAGCCCGGTCCATGCAAGATCCGGCAGCCGCAAGTGGTGGTCTCCCGTCTTCCCATCCATTCCATCCTAGATGCATCCCACATGTTGCCGATGCCTAAGCTGGCGAACCCACTACCATGACTCCAGCTCCCGGTACCTTGCGTCATCCATCGCATGTCGTAGAACCCTGGCCGGGAGAGAGTCATCCCATAGCCGCTTCACCGAACACCCTTCTTCCACCCCCAACCGCCTCAGATGCTCCCCACATACGTCAACGCCACCCCCGTCAACACAACCGCCAATCCCCAAACACCAGCATAGACCCCGGCCCCAACCTGATCAACGCCCCTAATCCCCAATGCCGTATCCAAATACGTGCCCACAACCGTAGCAACCACAGCCGCGCCCGTCCTCACAACCGAAACCTTCGTCTTGTCCCTCCACCCCCACAAATTCCACTTGACCGTCTCCTCCAAGCTCGCACTCGCAGGATCAAACCTCTCATTCTCCTCATCCCCGACCGTCCCCTCGGGAGCCGTAACCACAGGCGCAAAGATGAACCTCCTAGCAGCCCACCCCATCAACAACCCCAAAACCCCCGTCGCGATCCCATCCGCCCCCGTAAAGATGCCCGCCGGCTCAACGGCAGGCTTGACAGTAGGAATCCCCTCAAAGTGGAGCACAAACACATCCGACAGGAACGTCCTGCTAGCCAGGAAGAGCACAACACTGTAGACCAATCCCGCCTGAAGGCTAGTAAGAAGCTGAATCCACTTGTCGGTGACGATCTCCCTGTTCGGTGTAGCAGCACTCTCCTTGCCCCCGTCACCGGAGAGATGACGCAAAAGGAGGAACGGCAAGGCAGTTGATACGACCTCCACACCGAGATAGGCGCCGGCGGTCAACCAGCGAATGCCGTAAAAGACAGAGACAAGAAACGTCTAGGTAGCATATGCATGTCAGTTTTTGGGGCTGTGCTCTGGCTACCAAAGACGGAAAATCCCCGGATTTTTTGCATTTGCGGCAATCGGAGAAGAGAACAGAACAAAACTTACCGCAGGACCATGCGAAAGCAAAGCCAGCGAAGCCAAATCCCAACCGTCAAAGTCACCGAGCCAACCCAGTGCTAGTACGAGTCTGTCCCCCCAACCGGTCATGTTAGCTTGGTCTCATCCCCATATCTGACCGAGCTGAGATATATCGTTTTCTCAGCCCTGCCTCAGCCTTGCAAAGCTGACCGAGCCTTCACCTTTCAACCCAACAACACACAACAGAAATCTTGACTTACATCCTCCACCCAACCACAACCAAATCATCCCTCCCATCCTCCAACATCCCATCAACCCCCTCCCCCTTGGTCAAATACCTGACCACCCACCTCCCCACCACCTCAACCCCGAAACTCATCCCCACCCCCAGGGCAAGTCTCGCCGTATCCCCGGGCAACGACCGGGCGATGGTGGCAGGAGCAGCAACGACCGCATCCCCCGCAGCGACCTCGGCGCGCGTGGCCAGGTGGGCAACCGTGTCAGACGCCTTTTCCACTGCGGTAAGGGCGTCCGCCGCCACCTCTTTGATTCGGGGCATGATGTCGGCGCGGTGAATATCTGCTGTCAGATCCACGAAACTGTTGTCGTTTGATGGGTGGGCGCTGTAGCCAAAATCTCGTTGTGTGTGTGTGTGTGTGTGTGTGTGTGTGTGACGACGTGCGATGAGTGCGCTCGTGAGATCTAACCTCTCCGTATCGCCAAAATGGGTGAAAGGCTGTGTATGAAGAAGAAAATGATTATGTAAACTTCCTATCCGTCCCTCACACAATGATAGGTAGCTTGTCGATATCAAAATTCTCGTGTTCAAAAAAAATAAACGGAGATGGAACCAAAAGCGCAGAAAAGAAGCTTGTCCTTACCGCGGCGGCGGCGGCGACACTCGCGTGGGACCAGGGGCCCCCCAAAATCCGTGTGGATACAGTGACGTCTTGCCTTCCCACTCCCCACCACCTCGCTGCATCTAACCCCGCGCTTCTCTTCTCCCCCATCCCCCCAGTCCTACCTACCTACCATCTCCTTGTCGCCTTGTCGTCGTCTGTTTGTCAACAATAACCGACTGCTGCCCAAAGCTCCCATCCACCTTCAACAAGCCAACCGATACAATAAAAAGAGATGCACAGATACACCCTACAAAAAAAAAAAAAAAAAACACACACACACACACACACACACACACAACACACACACGCCCAGTTACCATCAAGCTTTGAACACCACCCACCACCTATGTCGCTGACACGGACATCCAAGGCGGTAGCAGCCTGAAAGTCTGTTTGTTGGTCTTCGTCCGACCAATCCCAGCTTCAGTCTTCACCGTTCGGAATTCTCCTCACCATTGCATTGCATCTTGTTCTTTCAACTTTGTACATTTCTTTATTATTTCAAGTTTGATTAGAGCAAAATACTCGTTTATTTTGTCTCTGAAAGACAGTCGCTCGCTAACCGCTCGAGGAATCGCTCAACGCTCGCACACAGCCCTCACTTTAACCTCGTGAAGCTGGTCGGCTCCCCGGTCCATGCCGCGGGACATGAACAGGACGCGACGCTCTCCATTCTTCGGTGATAAGGGCCGTTGGCGGAGCGACCTCATTTACAATAGTTCAACAATATAAAGGTACATAAGAAAACAGAATCCCTCGTCACATCATAAAAGCCCGCCCAAGCGAGACCATGGCGAGGCGTTCCCGCTCGAAATAAAAACCGAACAAGCCCGCCGCGAGCTTATTCCTCCATTCGACCGAATACACCGTCGTCGTCCTCTTCGCTTCGGCCGCGGGAGCGCATGTCCTCGTCCTCTTCGTCCATGACGCTCTCGGCTTCCTCCATCTTGACGTCTACACGGCGGAGCTCTCCTCGGGTGAAACTCTCAGGAGCCCTGCTGGGGTAACTGTTCATGAAGCTGCTGCCCAACATGGCCTCCTCGAGGAACTTGGTAGGGAGGGGCGGCACGGGAGGTGCGTCGGCCGGAAGGTGGACCGTCCGCGAAGACCCGTTGTGGCTACCGAAACTGCAACCCAGCAGGGCAGCAGCAAGCTCGCTGTCGGCCTGACCGGTAGCATTTCTGCCAGACGATGTTGGTCTTTGGTCCTGGCTCAGCTGCCGGAAGTGGCCAAACCCGGATCCGTTTGGAACGCTGCCAAGAGCTGAACTTCCAAAAGGCGCAGACTGATATGACCGGGAAATCCCACTGCCGTTGCTGAACCTCTTGCTGAAGTTTCTGTACGACCCGTTCGCAGCGCCGACAGCGTCCAGCTGCGGCGGTGGGGTGGTATCGGCCGAGCTCCGGTCCTGGGGATCCGAGAAGCCGCTTGCTGGGGGCGACGCCGAACCCTGTTCGCTGTTGAAGTCCCGGGCCGAATCTGGGGGCGTGGTGGCTGAGTCCTTGTTCATAGCAACGAGTACCGAAGCAGCCTCGAGCAGCTGCACCTGCTGGTGCTTCGAAATCAAGAGCTTGGAGGTGTAGGACCATTCGGGGGTATGTTCCCACCTGGGACAGAGACAAAGTCAACAATAGTGTTCAAACAGCACAGTCGACAAGCCACGACCGGCACGGGATACCTCGCTCCACACTCAGGGACCACGTGGTGGGAGAGGGTAGGGAAAGGAAAATGGGCACAAACAAATGCTTGGTCAGGCAGCTGCTATGCTTGTATCCCTTCCCGCACTTCTCGCAGCGAAGCTCTGGGCGATTGCTCTTGCGTCCACCTTCCTTGACCAGGGGCTGTCCGTCGCTTGCTCTTCTAACGCGAGCTTTCTGGAAGGCCGAATCGGCGTCATCCCCCGATGCGTCATTGAGTTCGTCGTCGATCGCATTCTCCTGCAAGTTGCTCATGCCTGTCCCGGCCAGGAATCTGCGACTGGGCAGGCTTGCTGGTGGAGACGGCAGGCTGCCAGCTACCACGGACCGGGAGAGGCCATTCTTGGACAGTGTGTTTCGGCGTGCCGAGATCTGGAGGGGCATGGGCCCGTCGCCGGGTTCCGTAAAGGCAGCAGCTACGGCTGCAACATTAGCGCCCGTGTTTGTCATGCTCTTGCGACGGGTAACGCGGTGGGTGCCGTTGAGGGTGGCTCCGATGATGGAGTGGGAGTGGTTCCGGGAGTGGGATTGGCGGCTCAGGGTGAGGCCCCCTGGGACGGACGACGACGAGGTCATGGAGGGTCGGTGGTTCAGGGGTCGAGAGGTCTGTTGAATTTCCTGAACGAGTGAAGGAAAATTGTGGTCAGCACATGTTCTCATGTTTCTGTCTGCTCAAAAAGTCCTGCAGTTGGGTGGGAGCCGACGCCGCGCTTTGCCGGTGGTGTTGAGAGAGACCTAGCTACCTTGGAAGAGGCCATTGCGAAAGCGGTGCAGTAATCCAACTGGCTGCACAGCTCTGGCAACCTACTACTGTATCCAAACACAACAAGTTGCCAAAAAGAAGAGAAGAAAAAAAGAAAAATAGAGAGTGCTGATCAGAAGGCGTGTGCTGGTGTGGTGAGACGCTGTGAAAGTGTGTCGGTGGCGGCAAGGGGAGAGGTTCACGAAAGGTGTTGGTGGTTATGTCCAGTGTTTGGGATGGCCCGTCGAGATTCCAAGCGCGGGGAGCAATAATAATTTCGGGCGTAGCAGCTTAGGAGAGAGAGGGTGCTAGGGTATGGTCCAGGGGGGGGTGTGGGTGACTCTTCAGCCAATCTCGATGCTCCGCCGTGATATTTGTCCAGAAGATGAGAGATCGCCGAAAGAAAATAATAATTTCCAATTGCTTCTGGAGAAAGGTGGAAGGAACCAAAAAAATAATAACAATATCAATAACAGGAGATGATGCGAGCAGGTAAACCTGAGTGGCTGTGCCTGCCGTAGGTCACGGCACAGACTGAACAAAAGAATGGGCCGCCAGGAGGGATGGATTGTAAGCTAGGCTTGACGATTGCTGGGGTGGAGGCGGGGCGCGTGGCATGCGACGGAAACAAGGCAATGGGAAATCGATGTTGAATGATCAATCGCTGAGCCCTGTCTCCAAAAAAAAAAAAAAAGGGTGCAGAAAAAAATAATCTGTAAAAAGGGGCACTTTTTGTTCACAAAGACTGGACAAGACAAGACAAGCCGCCGCTGTGTGTTTGGCGGGAGGCTAGACACACCACTGGTTCCCTACCAGACCACCTACCTAGTAATAAGATACCTGACCTGGCTAGGTGCACTGTGTTGAAACTGACAGCCCTCAGCACTGGCAACGCATGCATAATTCATCCAACCTGAAAAGAGCCTGGCTGGCTGGCTGGCTGGCTGGCCTTGGACGGTCCGTGGAAGGGGTGCGAATTGCAAGCAACAACGAAAGCCAAAGGAGTTCGGGGCCCGGGGGTACGATCGGGGTACGTGGCCCACAAAGAGTCCGGGCTGCCCTGGTTTGTAACCCCTTCTCCCACCCCCCTTGAGCTTTCTCAGGGAGAGGCCAGGTGCCAAACCTAGTAGTACCTTTACCACCTCGGACACTGGTGATGCGTCTGGAGTAGGTGGCATCTCGATTGGTACAGACCCAAAGCCATGAACAGTGAACAGCGAAGATAACTTGGAACACCAATCTTCATGCTCTTGCCGAATGCGTCAGCTGGCCTCTCGGGTCTGCTTGCCAGCTGCGCAAAAACTGCACATAAGGACCACCTACCTGATGCATGCACTGTAGGAAAGCTGGTGCGGGTGACCATGGACAGTGGTGGGCCAATATTGCGCCTGTTTCTGGAAGTTGCCTGTCCGTCCCTGCGTGCAACAGCGTCAACTCAACTGCAGGCTGGGGAAGCTAGCTGATTGGGATGCCCTTTTCCATAAGGTGGGTGGTGTGAAGCCGATATTGGAATTGGCTCGGCATCTGGATATCTGTCTCTTCACCTTGTGGTGATGTGCATGGAGGGTCTCCCGGATCGAGATAAGCTTTTTGCTATGGGCTATCGGAACAAGAAAATCGCTGTTGATCTGGGACCTGCCATGCCGAACTCGGTTCAGATCGCCCATTCTCAACATTTTGGACATTTATGTACTGTAGAACACCGGGCTCTCCATCCTGCTTCGGTCTGTCCTTTTTTTTTCTCTCTCTCTCTGGCCCTCTCCGTGCAGACGCGGCCTCGGTGTAGCAACCGCCGTGTGACCCCATCTGAATGGAACTCGGAATGCCTTGCTTGGGACAAAGCGGTGGCAGCTGTCGCCGTGTCACGAGTCCTGAGCCATGGCTAAGAAATGTCCGTCTCCACAATGACTCAATGGGTTTCTCTCTCTGTTCAGTGACCGAATTGCACAATTCCCTCGGTCAGTTTCGTAAGCGACATCAGTTGACGCTTGCCACAGTGGTGCTTGCTAAATGCCAAAAAAAAAAAAAAGAAAAAAAAAGTTACGGCAGAGGAATAGTGTTGTGATAGCTATGCTACCGGCCTAGGAACAGGAACGCAAGCTTGATGATACCCGCATGTCGCTACTTATGTACCCCGCCTGTCGTGTTCCCCATCCGGGATCGCCATCTTTCCTAGCTTGAAAGCCATTGCTGGGAAGAGGGGCTGGATCTGGATGCGGTCATGAGGTGCTGTGGAGCCAAGCTTCTCCTCATGAAGCTCTCAGCAGTGAGGCCATTCAGCACAAATTAGAGAAATAATAGGATAAACTGAGTTGAAATAGACTCTCAACAATCATAGGAGGCACCTACCTATTCAAAGCACATGAGTCTTTTCCAAATCTGACAACCACACTCATTGATTCAGACCATTCTTTAGCTCAGCCGTTGTATACATCTATCTTGCACAGTAAGAATCCAAGCCATGAGAAACCTGGGTTGGAAGTTTTTCAGAACGTAAGCAACAACTGCAAACGTGTCACTGCGGAATTGTTGCTCTGAAACGTTTTATGATTCTAGACACAGCAGAGACCCATTACAATTGTCTCTTTATCTTTGTTCAACTGTCTTATCAACGTGCCAACTTCACAACTGGCAAAGATCCACATTTTATCCTTGAAGCCGAGCGGCCGCACTGTGCATCGGGGCTGTCATCGGCGCTAACAACACCCCCTCCCTGCACAAGGCCAAAGCCTCCGCTTTTAACTCCCTCAGGTGGTTCATGCAGCACACCAGCTTCAACTCAAGGAACTGGCGCACCAGGAACAGACATCCATGCCCCTCACTGGAAGAAAACATATTTGAGGCATAAGGTAGGGACTTGTCAGTTGAAACGACACCAATTGACTTTGACAGAATGAAGGGGGATATCAGTCCCCATTCTCGGCTCACCAATTGACCACCACCACTTATAATCCAGGCAGGCCTACAGGTACATACGTACCTACCGGTATCTATATATCCTGCGGAGTATCTTAAGCAAGAGCAAAGCGAGCTCGAGTCCTTTCAGCACTCCGCACATCCACTCCCGACACAACACCAGCCGCTTGACCAATAACCTCGGAGCACGCAACCCCCTCTTTCACCCGATTCGGTTCTTGTTCTTTGACAGGGCTCGAGTCGCTGTCGTCGAGAGTGTCCCACAGTCCTGGAAAATAGGCACATACCGGCCAATCGTCGAGATCACCGGGTCGTGGATCAAGGGGAAACAAAGACGGGCCAGACTGGCCTTCGTGCGTGCCAAGCTTTCCACACTTTTTTTTCCTCCAAGGCTAGTAGTGTGTGTACATAGCTCTACATGCAGCTTCACCTAACACAATGTCCCCACTATCTACGCCGCCTCACCAAAGCAGTTGGACGGCATCACTGCTACCTCGCTCTTAGACGACGCCAATCCGAGACCAACCATTGACTTTTTTGCTTGCTGACAAGTCGAATCTCCGAATAAGAAAATTTTTATCCTCAGAAGACGGCACGGAGCTGGAACCAAAGAGATTTCCTTTGCCAGACCACTGGCAAGCCACACAACGTGGCTCGAGATCTCATCACTCGGTCGTCTGCCCTTGCTTGCCTGCCCTTGTCATCGGGCTCTCTTTCAGGCACATATTTGTCGGTCACAACATGGGGATTGCTACGTCGGATTGTGATGTATCTTCTTTGTTGCTAACAAGCCAGGGCCTTTCATTTCTGCCGGACAGGCAGAAACCGAGTGCCGGTTCATCAGAGTGACCAGACAGGAGGAGTTGCCGTTGCGTTTCAAAGAAGCAGACAAGGGCATTCGCCGCAACAAAAACAATGGCCATCACAGCAAACCCTAATAACCTGGCCATCAAACAAGTCTAACAACATCTCCCTTGCCCGGTACCACAGGGCGCATTTAAGCATGAAGACCCGATGTGTACCACCACCTCTTGTTTAGTCTGACACCCACACTTCTAGAATCCGAATACCTTGTGAGACCAAAACCCCCTGCTGAGGTAAGGAGGCATATGTTGTCCTTTTTTTTTATTTTATTTTTTTAAAGCCAGCCGCATGCCTATTCATGTAGCCTCGGGTGACATGGCGCAGGACACCATCCTCACTCACTCACTCCCACCCGTTTAGAGAAAAGTGTGTGCAGTGCCATGGAAGACGAGGGGCAAATGACGTTGAGAAAAGCGGCCACCTGACTTTTTCTTTTCGACAGCCACGACAGCTGCCTTCTCTTTTGGGTAGGACGGAATAATCCCTATGAATTGGCACTGTATAGGTACACTAGTACTATGTACACGGTAAAAGTTGGAAGATGGGTGGCATTGGAATCATCACCAGGAACGAACCGCTTTTTTTCTTTCTTTTTTTCCTTCTATTACCGAGACTCCCGGATTTTCAAACGGTTTTCGAAAAACCAGCAACGGCACCTAGCAAGGTTGCGGTTCTATTACACCCAGGGATTGACCGGCTCCGGAGGGTGATCGATCGATCGGTCGGCTCGGGTGTTTTCTGTAGCTCACTCGGCTGGAAGAAGCGAGGCATATGGGCAGGGAATATCATTTGTGGGGATGAGGTAGAAAATAGCAACACTAACATATAGAGACATACACGTAAACAACAACGACAGGTACCAGCGTTCCTGTGAAGGGATGATGATGTCGCCATTGATTTCATGCCGTAAGTCAGCATGCATGTAGGCAAACACTAGCTCATCCTTTTTTTCAGGGCTGACGACACGACGGTCCCTGTACCTGACTAACATACCTGCCACGCGACAGGAAAAGGTGTGTTTCTGGAAAATTACCGATACCGTGGTTGGGAATGAGACCTTTTTTTTGGCTTTCCGGATGGGTTTTATAGCTTGGCCGGCGATTCCGGTGGTCCTTGCATTAGGAGAAAATCTAAAAGCTGGAATTCTCTCCGTGACGGAGGGTTCCTAAAATAAGATGGTTTGGAAAACTGAGGACAATAACAGACTAGTTGTGTGTTGACACCTGCGTTTGCCACAATTGATATATCAAAGGTCCCGGTGAACGGAGGGTGTGGTTCATGATGTGTGGCTTGAGTTTGGGAAGACTTTGGGGATTGGGGAATTATGGAACACTGCCCCCTCCTCAGCTTTTCACGAGCCGGGCTTCTCCGATGGATTTGAAATGACCTTCCTATTCACGGAAACAGCACGTATACACAAGTGACACTGGAATTCTTTTGCTCCATTCGGTCTTGTATGAGCGACTTTGGAAAACTAAGGCATATCCCATCCGTCCGTCTTCGGCAGACATATTCTTTTTTTCCCCCAGCCTTGTGTGAACACCACGACATTCACACACCACCTCAACCCAAATTCCCTCAGCCACCTATGCATAACCAACTCAGATCTCACAATTTTCCCTCTTCTTCATCATGTGCTCCTTCCAAAATCCAAATTGTGGCGTCGAGTAAGAATACGTACGCCCAGTGAGGTGATCAACCTCCAAGAGGTGGGATATCAGCTTGGCAGTTGAATTTCATGAGTGAATGAATGAGGTGACTTGCGATAAGGAGTCTCAAAAGTGAGGGGTGTAACTGATAAGAGGGATAAGGGAAGGGACTACCTACTACGCCTGAAGCTCACTTACCTTTTGCCCCCTTTTTTTCAGCTCATGGGAATGAAACTCTTGACTCTTACATCTCAAACCTAGTGTATCAATTGGCCTAGAATAAACCCCATTTTTTGAGTTCTCAATTGTTGCTGATCTTGCAACATGTCCGACGACGTATTTCGCCGTACGGGCCGTGGTGGGGCTGGCAACTATTACAGCAAGAAGGATATAGAGGATGTCCAGAAGGCTTCGGAGGCTTCTGCTGTGAGTTATCACTCCTAGTTTGTCATATTTGTACTTGCACTAACACCACAAAGGACCTCGAAGCCCAAGCCGACCTCACCAAGACTGCCACCACCATCCAGCAACAACCCGCCCCCGTCCCCTATTCCCGCGGCGGCAGAGGAGGAGCCGGCAACTTCTACGGCGCAGCAGACACGGCTGCCTCGGCCAAGCAGCAGTCCGAAGACGCGGAGCGCACCAAAAAGGCCGTCGCCGCAAGCATAGCAGCCCGTCAAAAGACCGGCGGGACTGGCCGTGGTGGGGCAGGTAATTACGGAGCGGCTGCCATCCCAGGGGCGGACTTGCCGACGCCGGAAGACGAGCAGCGGAAAAAGTTGGCGGAGGAGGAGATGGAGATGAAGGTGTTGAAGGAAGTCGAAGATCAGCTGGGCAAGCCGCCGGGGGCATACCATAGGCCTGGGCCGGAGGAGTGATGAGTTTCAGTTGTGATGTCCTAATACTCGCAAAGTTACGGTAATGGGAAGCATGTGTCAAAATGCCGAGAACCCGTCCATCCCCGCTTTTTATTGCATTGTTTCAGTGAAATACCCGTAACATTGTAAAAAATTCAGCCAGTCACCGGCCGGCAAGCGGGCGGCAAATCCCGACTTCTGCGACTTTCCGCAAATCGCAAACCCCCGGTCAAAAAAGTTGATTCCATTGCTTGCCGTCATCATCGTCACCGTCCACCACATCGCACCACCCGACGACGACAACCACCGCCACCACCACAACGCGCGAAAGTAATATCCGCTTGTCGCATTCCAACCGCTACATGTCCAAAGCCCCCGCGCAGACACCCCAAACCTCGTCTCAACAAACCCGCAAACCCGAATCCGAAATGTCCGCAGTAGCCATCGGCGCAGGAGTAGCAGTTGCTGCCTTCCTCGTATGTCCCTCTATCTATATCTATCGCAAAACACCTCGCTAATTTCCCGGTATAGGGCAGAGCAGGCCTCGTAGCCTGGCGTCGCTCCCGCGGCGGCGTCGGCGCCCTCGGCAAAGCCTTTTACAAGGGCGGCTTCGAGCCCAGGATGAACAAGCGCGAGGCGGCGCTGATCCTGTCGCTTCAGGAGAGCTCCATCACAAAGGACAAGGTCAGGAAGGCGCACAGGACGCTGATGCTGCTCAACCATCCTGATCGCGGGGGGAGTCCGTACTTGGCGACCAAGGTGAATGAGGCGAAGGAGTTTTTGGAGAAGACTACTTCTTCGTAGGGGCGTGAGAGTTGTGGTGAATTGGGGGGATAGCAAAAGGGGATGGAAGGGGTACGAGGGAAAATGGTGGGATTGGTGTGGTTGACTGTACCAAAAAGATATCTTGCGTTTCGGAGGGTGCATAAGAGGGTGGTGTGTGTGCATCATAGCATTGGCGTTACGGCACTTTGGTTTTCATGGTTTTGTTGGTTGGTGGACAAGGAAGCATTGGTGCTGCTGGTCGGTTGGGTGGGTGGATGGATGGTTATGATCTGGAGTAGGAGAGAAAGGGGGGTTATGTTGTATGAGGAAGAGCTGTATTTTTATTGCTAAGGTGGTGTGTAGAGAGGTCATGGTTTGATCGGGGAACTCTCCTCTAATAATAAAACAAAGCTCAAATCAACAATCACTTGAGGTGTTGTTGACACAGTGAGTATTTGGCTGGAGGGTGAACCCAAACACAGCTGCATGTTGAGACTTGAGAAGCAAGCAAAGGAGCGCTTTGTTTGTGCAACTTGATGAAGCTGACAATACCCTCATACACTATTCCCTCCCCCAACACCATCATAAAAAGCGGGTTTAGCTCAGTTGGGAGAGCGTCAGACTGAAGTCCACTTCAATCAACAAATCTGAAGGTCATGTGTTCGATCCACATAAACCGCACTTGATATTCTTTTTTCAACTCTCCCATTTACAACCACCACCCCATATGAACTGAACTTGTGGATGGGTAGTTTCGAGCACCACCATCTTAATTTTTCCCATGCCATCCCCATCCCACCTACTATGTCACTTTCTCCCACCCCAGACTCTCTTCCAAGGTTCTTATACCTTGTACCATCCTCTCTCATTCCTATTTAGGACTGCCAGAGAGCATGGCGATGGTATCAAAACCCGTCGCCCACCCCCCTTTTTTCTCGTCTCCAGGTTGGGGAAGTTAGGGTTTTTCCCCCTGGGCGAATTTCACACACAAATATTTTGAAGAGGTATTGAAACCGAAGCCCGCTTTGTCCCCGCGTCATGCCATGTGTAAACACATCACATCAGCAGATGCCAGCATAATCTGATAACACACACCTTCATCCCCCCACAATGTTTCCACACAGTGTTGTTGCGAGCTCCTCCACAATGTCCTCTCCACTACGGATCTCGAAATCGAGATCTTTGAACATCCTGTATCTGCCGTTCCTCTCGATCTGCCACTTCATGAGGTGGGTTAAACCACTTCTCTCTCCCCAAGGTCAATCTCACACAATGTTGCGTAGGTGAGTTACCTGTGCATACAAAATCTTGAACCGTCAAGAAAAAGCCGTTGATCATTCCCAGCTCATTGAAAACGTCGATCCCGATCGAGGATCTCGCCCAATACATCCACCCACCTCCACAACTCAGTGGATCTTCCTCCTCCACAAAAGTCCACAAATATCCCGAAACCCTACCCACCAGACAAGCGAAAAGCCAAGAATGTTTGTTGAGCTGGAGTTTTGCCTGGGCCCGGCTGACCCGCCCCGGCTCCCCCGGTACCCGCCCCCCCTCCGTCCGGCAGTCCGGGACCGGCTTTTGATTTCCGGTACCGGTCCTACGGGAGAATTGTTCGCTGGAACTCTGCTATCATCCACAACAACAGATAAGAGAAAAATCGTGCGACATGTAATATGCTTTATTTGTCTTTTGGTATTTTGTTCTTTTTTCTTGTTCTAGTTGTTGTTGTTGTCTTTGTGACCGAGCACGCGAGGTATAGCTAAGCTTCTGTGGTATATATCCCCAAACAGAGTGTAAGTAAGGTCCTGGTTGTAGCAAACAAAACCAAGGGCTCAAGGTCCAAGTATCAGTAATCCCCCAGTCTCTCTCTCTCCGCTTTCACTCATTCCATCATGCCTCATAATTAAAAACATCCTAAACCAACCTCAATGTCAAAACCCCCAGCTTCTCATAAAAGAAACATATATATATATATATGCATGTATATGCACGTAACCACTTTCACCATCACCAACACGCAGTGCCACAGAACAAAACAAAGAGCCCACAAAACACCAAAACCACAATAATCACATCAATCAGTCAAATTGCCCCCTTTGATCAAGCCTTCAAATCAGTCGGTCCAATCACGCCCATCAACAAGCTCGGTTTCTCTCGGTCCAACAATTCTCGCTTTCTTTCTTTCTTTTCTGTGCCTGTGCCTGGTGCCCGTCTTTAGCTCCCCTCAGGTCTCAATGCCTTAGATCATCTTTCCCCCCAAGGTGCCATCGTGCATTTGCGTAGAATCTCGCTGGCCCGCCCCAGTGCCAGCTCACCGGAACTCCATACCCGCCCGCCCCAGAAAAAAAAGAGGGCTAGTGTTATTGGCGGGTCGTGCCGCCGTCAAAACCACCACTCCCCCCCCCCACCCCCTTTTGAGGCTTGTGGAGAAACACCATTCCTTTCTCGGCTTGACGATCCGAAGCTTGGGTGCACTTTCCCCCCTGTCAAGTGTCAATCCAGAAAGTCGGTGACCGCTATTAAAAAAAAGATGCCCCCTTGTCAACAAACCAACCACGCAGCAGCAGAACGAAAAAGAAAGAAAGAAATCGAGATGGCACAAAGAAAAACAATGCCCAATTGTGGATTGTGTTTGGTGGTGTTGTTGATGTGTTGTCCTTAGCCCCCCCCTCCCCGCCGTCCCGTCCCGCAGCAGCGGTGTGATAAAGTGAAGCAAGCGTGTTGCAATAATGGAGTTGAGAGTTGTGTGATGAAGAAAGTGCGTTGTTGCAAATGTTCCCAGCCCCTGTCGTCCAGCGCCGAAAATAACCGGAAACGCCCCCCCATCGTGAAAGGAAGAAGGGAGAAAAAACAAAAAAACCTAACCCCAACAATGTGAGCAGAGAAAAGAATATGCTGTGTAAAGTGTGTTGTAGTAGATAGTGTGTTGTGTGGGTTTTGATTGTGTTCGCGGAAGAAAGGAAATTCGAGAGAATTGCCATGCCTGATGTTTTGCTTCCCCGATTCCATGTTTACCTTCCCCAATCCCCCCCAAAAAAAGCCCAAAGATATCAAAGTTCATTCCATGTGTCATCCCTTCTCTTTTTTTTACCACCTGAGAACCATGAATTATAAATGTTTCCTGGTGCACAACATCCAGGCTTTAATGAATAAAAAAAGGTATTACCAAAGCCTCCGGCGCCCTGAGAAAAGAAGTGAAACAAACCCTACTCCCCCTGTCCCACTTCCCAGAACAACTCGCCAACCAAACGACAGGGAATTGCATGTATATGTATTGTGGTTTGTTTGTCGAATGGTTGGTTTGTGTTCGTGATATGAGTGAAGATGTGATATGATGATGATGATGCTTGCCCCGCCCACTTGTTGAAAACGCCGAGCCATATATGCAGATAAAAGATGCTATTAGACAGATCCAAGCTGAAGAAGAGCCTCCACGGCGTCGCGCTCCTGTGCGTCGGTCACCATGACTCCCGCCAAGCCCGATGGTGGGATCTTGAAGTTGAGCTGAGGTGGCCGCGCCATGCCGCCGGAGAAGGAGCGCATGCTGGAAGAATATACGTTGTTGAAAGGGGAGAGGTGTCTTTGGTTGTCGGACTGGGCCTGATAGGATGACGCTCGAAGCGCCGCCGCACCGACGGCTGCCCAGTCCTCGTCGTCGGTTGCGTCCTCGGGGTCGTCGCGGTCCATGGGAAAGTCCTCATCGGGCGCCTCGGAGCACGATGCGGATCCGGATCCGTCGAGCGACATTTTGTCGGCCTCGTGGTCCATCATGTTCATGAACCGGTCCTCGTTGAGACGGTCGTCATGAGAGAAGGCTGCTGATGAGGCGCCGCCGGCGCTCGTCCCGAGCATGGCTGCGAGTCGAGACCGGTCCAAGTGGTGCCACCCGGGGCCGCCCTTGTTGATAGGGATGCTTGTCGGGTAGGAGCTCCCGCCGGGCGACGTGCGGCGCGAGGGAGGGTCGTAGGCGGCAGCTGTAGCTCTGCTGCCCTGGCCCCTCCGCTTCGCATGCCACCGTCCCCAGCCCACCTTGATAAACTCTACGTCACCATCCGGGCCGCTGCCCACGCCACCGTTTCCCTTTCCCTCTAGCGCGGCCACAACCAGCCTCCGGGCTTTGGCAGGCGGGATGCCCGCGAAGCCGGGGACCGTGGTGGTCAGATAACCCATAATGTGGCGAATCGGCAACGGGCCCTGACCCAGCAGGATCTCGGGCAGGTGGCAGTTGGCCAGCATTGCTGACGTGATGGCTCCGGCCGAGTCGTACGGGGGCGATCCCGGACCGGAGTGCTCATCGTCGTGAGCGTCGCGGTCGTGCAGTTCCAGGTCGGAGTCGACCGAGGGCTCGACGCCCGCCCTCATCAGGTGGGCGCGAAGGCCTACCGGAGGCAGGTTGGGAGATATCGAGTTGGGGGGAGTCGGCAGGTTGTTCGGATGGGTCGTCACAGGGACACTCCGGGCGGCCGCTACAGCAGTTAAGTTGTCTCGGCCGGGAGAGGGGGAGGAGGTCGTCGCGATATCGCGAGCAGCAGTAGCCATGGTCGCCATATTGACACTTCTGGGTGTTGAGTTGCTTCGAGCCGTTTCTTCAAAGTGCCGCAGGCCGTGTGTTAGCAGAGGTGTTTCTGATGGAGCCAGACACGGTGCGACGGGCCGGGAAGGGGTAATGATGGGCAACAGCGATAACCATCGATCTCTCTTGCTCGCTCGCTTGTTTGTTTACAAGCATAAAGAAGTGTCGCGTTGTGTGTGCCCAGGTTGGCGACAACAAGGAAACTGAGGACTGAAGACTGAGAACTGAGTCACACTCACCAAAGGACCGGAGCAAGTTGATATGGGCAGCTTTGTTACTCTTTGACCGGGGGAAGACGGTTCGTGTCTTGTCGGGCAAAAGAGGTGTTGGCTGGGCTATTCGGCAGATGCTGCTGGCGATGATCTTCTGTGACAAGAGAAGGATTCTCTCTTGTAAGACTTGATGTCGTCGTGGTTTAGTTGGTCGCGATGTTGTTGCTTTGTCGAGACCAAGAGAAGGGTCAGCGGCAGGAATCGTGGACAGGCCATGCTAATATAAACCAAGCCTTGTTGGACAGGCCGGCGAGTCCAGAGGGTGTGTCTTGCCCTGGTAGCGGTACCTTGGTAGGTACCGAGAGCAGCACCCTGGCGCTGACGAGTGACGACTCACGGCGGGCACGGGGTACACACACCGTACATCAGACCAGGGTGCCAAAGACGGGCAAGTGGCTTGTCACTGATTTGAGAGCGGGAGGCGTGCACACAGCGAAATCATCACACAAAAATAGGTGTGTCTCGAGAGAGAGAGAGGGAGAGAGCGAGAGGGAGGCCAGTCTGCTCTGCCCCGTGCCACCTTTGCCCAGCTTTCTCTCTGTCATCATTTCTCGGAATCTGAGGCAACTGTTTTCATATCCCCATTCTCTGTCTCATTTCCTGGCTACAGTGTTGTGCTGTTATTCTCAATATCGCGACGTTTAATTAGTTTGAGCCTCCACCCAAACAAACCCTGAATTGACAATCTCCCGAATGGATGTGCGCGCCCACAAACATTTAGGGTTTTGCGACGATAAGGACCAGGTCGTCAATCGTGGATCTTGGTTATCATCACACGTCGAAATGGGTGGAGGCATTTCCCAGTGGGTTGTGTAAGTGCACAGTGCGAAATGTTTGCCCTTCAAAAGGTCGCATCAACAGGGAAGAAAGGAAGGACGGGAAACCCAGTTCCCTGGATGGTCTGGACGTTTGATGACGACTTGTTCGTCTGCCAGGCAGCGCCATTTTTACCCTTTTCTCTCTTCGTCCGTATTCTCTGTCCACTAACGCCGCCTCGTGCTTCAATGCAGCACAGGCAACTCTGGCACTTTCTTCAGCAACAAGAGCTCCAATCCCAGCCCCCAATTGGAAGTTGACCCCCAGCCCATGTGCCTGTATCAACAGCGTCCGCGCCATATGGCCCTTCACACCCCCTGCGAGTCGACGTTGCGATTCGAGGACTGTCTTGATTGGCCCGAACCCTCTCTGCCCGCCATCCCAGTCGAGTCATGCGCTGACTACCGCTTCGCTTGACGTGGTACCAAAGCAAACACGAGACTGTACATGCCGTCGTGGAAATCGACAACGTTTCCTTTCTTGTTCTTTTACGATGTCGGGGAACGGGTACCCCCCGGGGGACCACCCCTTTGC